TTATTTTCCATCTTCTTTCATAGCAATCAAATCTGTTGTTGTTGGAAACTAACTGGAAAGTTCGCATTTTTTAAGCAATGGGTTGAAAACCCACTGGAACTCTTCATCTGGAAGATTCTTAAACAGGTTCAATAATCATCTCCAAGTTTTTAAAGTGTACAGATAAAGTTTGTGTAGTGACAGACTTGTATTGTTTTCAGCAATGCGAAGACCAGAGAGTGAGTCTCCAGGAAGAAGCAAAGGATGAGGATTGGCCATCAGATTGGGCAATTCAGAGATCATTGGCAACTTGAAGAGGACAGTTTTATTGAGGAAGTTGAGAATCTGAAACCTAGAAGGGTAGAGGTACCTTCAAAGGAAGTAGGTGTTGCGGTCTGAGTGGTTGAGACCCCTCAAAGACTGAAGTACAGGACAGGGTCGTCTGGAATGAATTCACAGACTCAAGCATTCTTTAAGTCAAGGTGGCAAAGATTTATTGTTACGCTTTTCAGCGGGCAAGGATTCTTAAGGAAACTGCAAGAGACTGAGGATGGAGCTAGGCTTTATATGGAAAAGGGCATGGGAAAGGAATGCCAGGGACACTGATGAGGTAATCTAAAGGTCCAGGTGTCTTTGGGAGCTGTGGATGAGAAAGTGCTGGGAGTATACCGGACAAGGAGGGAGATGACAGAGGTATGGATCTTGGGAGTCTGGCAGGAGGAAGAGTCCTTGGGCCAGCCAAGGACAAAACTCCTTGGGCTGGGCAAGGCACCCCCCTCCCTCTGTCTTGATGAGAGAATGCTCTGCAGCAAGGGAAAGCTTTCTCATGAGACAGAAACTTACTAAGGAATTGGGAGGCTTCCAGAGACATGATCTGAGGGCTGGGGCCTGAGCAGCCCAGCACTCCCTCACCCGGCTTTGTGTAGCTGCACCAGTGAGAGAGATAAGGGTCGTGCTGGGGCCCATGCATGAATAACTGCTAGGCACAGTATCCTTGGGCTGGGGAGTGATTGTCAGAGACAGTGTTTCTGAGACTAGGGAGAAATTGGGGTCCAAGTACAAGCACAAGCACCCAAATACAAGCACCCCATCATAGGGAAGTTTGAAAGAGGGGTGGGTGTGGGGGGAAAGACTGTCTGCAATTCCCAATCACAGCCTATCCAAGCCTACTCATCCTCTTCTACTTAACTCTTTCCTGCTGGGGGAAAAAAGGGAGATTAGGGGTGTTTTACTTACCAGCCAGTGCCTCAGTGCCCTCTGGTTGAGGGGCACCTGTGGAAACCATAAAGGAACAAGGTGGGGAGAAACAGAAAGAGAAAAGCGAGGACGTCCGCTTTGCCAGCCCCATTGTTCCAGGTGCCTGGTTCAAGTTAAGTCACAGCCCCTGAGCTGGAATGAATTAAGGGCTATTGCAGTTGTGTTAGATGACTATTACCTCTGGTGTGAGGGCTGCTCATCCACCTTTGGTGTTCACCTGTCATCCAGCTCTCACTTGTGACTCCAAGGTGTAGCATGTGCAGTGGCCACACCCCTGCACAACGGTCTTGGCAGACGGCTTTACCAGCTTGAGGGGAACGGACAGGCCTCTAACCCATTGGTGATTTAGGGGGATGTCTGCCCCAAGCACGTGAAGACTTCCCCCAGCAGAATGGGCAGATGAGAACAACATGTTCCAATGGCCTTGAAGGCAACTGAAGCAGCTGCTTTGGAGCGCTTAGAGCTTGGTCTCAATCCATCACCGGTCGTCTTGACTCTGTCCTGCCACTGGACTGTGATGACTCTGGAGGAGAGAGTAAGGCTGATGACTTTGTGCAACTTTGCCTCACTTAAATCCAGTTTACTTGAAAGTGGAGACGTCACCCTGTGATGTCATTGGTCCTCTTCAGAAATGAAGGGCCAACAACAGCATTGGAGGCAAGTCCAAGATTAGCAGGATTTGACCTGTCTTCCTGTTCCCCATTTGGTTGACCTCACTGTCCTTGGCTCCCACTTTGTAGACCACCACTCTAGGCAGTTCAGTACTCCGTTTAAAAAATGGTGCCTTGATGCATTTGGTGTTTTGTACCTCAATTGTGGATGAATCCTTTTCTCCTGCCCAGTAACCTCCCGTGAATCACCCTAAATACATGCCTAACATGCAGAGGTGTCAACCTGCAAAAGTCTGGAGTATGGCTGGACTAGATTAAAATGTAATTGGAAAATGTTTACAAAATAAATGAAACTGTAATACAACATAGATAATGTTAATTTGTGGTTTTCTAAGTCAGGTAATGAGCAGGGATCCAGTTTCTATTTAAGTTTGATACTACTGCATGTGTGCACACATACATACGCATATACATACATATGCACGGAAATGCAGTTAATGATAGCTAGCATTTGGTAATTCAGCAAACCTTTCTCTTATTGACAGTCTCACTTAAATCCATATTTGTGGTCTAGGAAGAAGAAGTGTGTTTCATTGTACATCGTTTGGAGGCAACGCTGACAATTGCATTGGTTGGGAATTCTGTCGTTTTGTAATGTTGTGTTTATTTCCTTTCTTTGGCATTGCTCTATATGCATCTTCCTATGTTCCTTTGACTGTCTTTTATTACTTGTTTCCATTATACTTATTTATCACAGTTCATAGTTACCACATTCCTTTTCCACTTGTTTTGCTTCCAGCTTCTTTTTCTTCTTTTTTTAAAGTGTTGTTGTGAATATTTCAGGCACATATAACTTTTTTTTACATTATTCTTTTTTTTTTAATTTATTTTCAGTTTTCAACGTTTGCTTCCATAAGATTGAGTTTCAAATTTTCTCCCCATCTCCCCCCTTCCCCCACCCCAAGATGGCATGTAATTTGATATAGGCTGTACATATACATTCATATTGAACCTATTTTCACATTAGTTAATGTTGTAAAGAAGAATTAGAACCAATGGGAGAACCATGAGAAAGAAGAAACAAACAAAAAAATGAAAAAAAAAAAAAGAAGAGAGACAGCAAATAGTCTGCTTTGATCTGCATTCAGACTCCATAGTTCTTTTTCTGGATTTGGATAGCATTTTCCATCATGAGGCCTTTGGAATTGTCTCGGATCCTTGCATCGCTAAGAAGAGATGACTCGATCAAAGTCATCGAGCATTGTAGCTGTTACACGTAGAACTTTTTATATCTGACATTGACCTCCTTGGGATCATTGAATCAAAGTTACTACTAATTTTTTCCTTGTAATTCCAGTTGTTTCCCACTGAAGAAACATTGACTTTTTCCAGCTGTTAATGCCTTAATCATTTGAATAAGGCAATAATGTCTGAGGTGACACTTTAGAATTGTTTCAGTTTTTATTTCTTCTTATTTGAAGCATTGAATGTTAGTTTGCATTTCTTTTTTACAAAACTGGTTGTGTTTTTTTGACCACTAGACCATGAGGAGGTGGTTCTTTGTCTTATAGATTTGTATCAATTTCCTATAAATTTTGGATTCATTTCAGTAAACATTAAGCGTGTCCTATGTACAGACATTTTGCTAGGTACAGGGTATACAAAACACACACACACACACTCACACACACCCCAATGACTGTTCTTGTCCCTAAGAAGTTTCCTTTCTACTTCTAGGAGGATATAGCAGATACATACGCACATAAGTATGACCCATATGAAGTAATTTCGGAAGGGAAAAAAGTGCTAATAAATAAACTTGGGGGAATTGGGAGAGGCCTTATATAGGAGGTACAGTTCCTGAGCTGGGCCTTGAAGGTCACTAGGTATTTTATAAGGGTGAAGAAGAGAGTGCATTCCAGCCAGGAAGAAGGAACAACTTAGGCAAAGGCTTATAGGCAGGAATTAGGATGGTGCTCATGGGACACAGAGCTCCTCATCAGAATACACATTCTGAATGTGGCCTCCTCCCAGCTTTCACCCGTTAGCCTACCTCTGTATCTAAAAATGCAACACGATAGAAGGTGCACTTACTGACTTTGGTAGAGAAGCAGCGTGACTTGGTGAGAGGAGCACAGGCTTTAGAGGGGGAAAAGCAGTGTGACTTGGTGAGAGGAGCACAGGCTTTGGAGGTAGTTGAAAGAATTGGGCATGGTTAGTCTAGAGAAGAGAAGACTGGGAGAGAAATTGTAGACTCAAAGTATTTGCAGGACTGTCGTGTGGAAAAGGGATTTGATATGTTCCATTTGGCTTCAGAGGGCAGAACCAGGAATCATGGGTTTAAGTTGCAAAGAGACTAGTTTAGAGGGTAGATAACAGGGAAAACTTCTTAAAACTTAGAGCTGTCCAAAAGTGGACCTATTGAGAAGTAGCCCTCCCTCCTTGGTGGTCTTCAAGGAGAAACTTGGCAAGCACTTCCTGGGTGTATTATAGTGGAAATTCCTTTGATGAATTGGACTAAGGCCATTGAGGTCTTTTCCCTCTTTGTTTCTGTGAGTCAAAAGATAACCCAGCTTAACATTTCTTAACTTGGGTAAGTCACTAAATAAATAACTCTGAGTCCCAGTTTCCTCATTTGTAAAAGGAATGACTGACCAACCTACCTTACAAGGCTGGTGTGAGGATTAGTGTGAACGCTTTTTATCAACCATGTATAACTAGTATAGATATAGTATATATACTATATGTAGTATAGTATATATATAGATATAGTATAGGTGTAGTAGATATGCTAGAGTGAACTTAGGAGTCAGAAAGTCTCTTGCTTATAACACATACAAACTGTACTGACTTGGGCAACCCTCCTAACCTCAGGTAACTCTTAGAACTGTATTGATCTGTTGGGGGGAGGGAATTTCCTCTCTCCACTGGTGGTTCTCTGAACCAGCAAAATCACAAATCCTATCCTTTTCCCTACTCCTACAAAAAAGGGATTGTACAAACTGAAGATGTTACCATTGTTTTGTTCCACCCTGAGAAGTTTCACAGTGCTGTTTCTTAATGGCAGATGGAGAAGGCAGGACTGAGTAAGCAGGAATTGCTTGTCTCCCAGCAGGAAGGGCAGAGATACTCACATTTTGTTATTTCTTTCAGATTGGGAGGTGGCTCCTGAAACCAAGGAGTCATCTCCAAAGCTGGGCTTCTCTATGGAACAGTCATCCCAGGAAATACTCACATGGGATCGGCCCTGTGTTTCTAGTTTGGGAGAAACTTCAGAATGTGATGCCAGGCTAGAGAAGCAGCCGAGGAAAGTAGTGAGACATCCTCGGTAAGTAAAACTCACCCTAAAAGAAACTCCCAAAAACATGCGAGGCCATGAAAGCAAAGAAAACAGCAACAGTTTTGGGCTGGGACCAGGCAATCTTCCACAGTAAAGAAAAGCGATAGAAGAAAAGGTTTCCTAAGTGAAAGGGCTCCAGGGCTATTCACACACCTAGTTTGGGTTCACTGATAGACACAGGCTCACAGATTTAGAGCTAGAATGAAAAGGATTCAGACTGCAGAAAAACTCAGAGGCTCTTGAGTCACCAGTGCTGTAGAAGCTGCTCTCAAGTGCAGTGAAGGTGGGAAATCCTTCATTAGGATTCAGACCTTTTCAGTATAATTGGATGCATACTGAAGAGAGACCTTATGAATGCAGTATATGCCTGAAAGCCACTAACCACAGCCTTTCCATTACTTCCCTCACAGACTTGGTCCTGGAGAGAAACCTTATAAATGTAATGAATGTGGGAAGGCCTTCCGACAAAGCTCACAACTTATTGTGCATCACAGAATTCACACTGGTGAGAAACCGTATGAATGCAATGAATGTGGGAAGGCCTTCCGTGAGAGCAAAGAACTTATTCGACACCAGAGAATTCACACTGGAGAGAAACCTTATGAATGCAAAGAATGTGGGAAGGGCTTCAGAGAGAGCAAAGAACTTACTCGACATCAGAGGATTCATACAGGAGAAAAACCTTATGAATGTAAAGACTGTGGGAAGGCCTTCAGACGGAGAACTGGCCTTAATGAGCATCAGAGAATTCATACTGGGGAGAAACCTTATGAATGTAATGAATGTGGGAAGGCCTTCAGACGGAGAACTGGACTTAATGAACATCAGAGAATTCATACTGGAGAAAAACCTTATGAATGTAATGAATGTGGGAAAGCTTTCCGTGAGAGCAAAGAACTTATTCAACACCAGAGAATTCATACAGGGGAGAAACCTTATGAATGTAAAGAATGTGGGAAGGCCTTCAGACGGAGCACAGGACTGACTGATCATCAGAGAATTCATACTGGAGAAAAACCTTATGAATGCAATCAATGTGGCAAGACCTTCCGCTGGAGAACAGAACTTACTTCCCATCACACAATTCATACTGGGGAGAAACCATATGAATGTAGTGAATGTGGGAAGGCCTTCCGCCTGAGTGCCCATCTTATTCAACATCGGAGTATTCATACTGGTGAGAAACCTTATGAGTGTAATGTTTGTGGGAAGGCCTTCCGTTGGATCACAGGACTTGCTTCGCATCACAGAATTCATACAGGAGAGAAACCCTATGAATGTAACATATGTGGAAAGACCTTCCGCCAGAGTACACAACTTTCTAGACACCATAGGATGCATACTGGAGAGAAGCCCTATGAATGTACTGAATGTGGAAAGGCCTTCTGTCTGAGCACACAACTTATTCAACACCAGAGAATCCATAACAGAATGAAGCCTTTTGAATGGTAAGGCCTTGGTATTGAACATGAGGTGTGGTTGACAGAGCACTCACAGAAATTTGGAGAATTCATACTAAAGTGATCAAATCCGGGGCAGATTTCCCACAATGGCTCTCACCTCAGCCTTCAAAAGTCAGTCACTTGCCACTTTCCTTCTCCAACCCCTATAATGACATAAAAGTTGCTCATTCAGAAAATTATGGCAATCTGACCAGAACTTGTTCCTACAGCTCTACTCCTTCAAAATTCTGCGAGGCATCACCTGCTCTCTTTTCCTTCCTTCGAGTCTCAGAAGAATGAGTACCACTGCTTGCTAAGACTAAATCCTCTACCTGTACATTTGGTCTCAGCCCCTTTCACCTGTTCCTGAAGTCTCACACCAACGGTCATCTCCCTTAGGCATTTTCAGTCCATAACCCTTCCCTGACTCCATACCGCCTGCTTAGAAACACATTCATGTCTCACCAGTACTTTGTTTTAAAAGGCTGCCTTGCATTCTGTTACAACCATTCTATCGAAACCCTTCTCAGAAACCAGCCGTTTTCTCCTGATCACCAAATCCAGTGGCTTTTTTTTTCAGTCCTTTTCCTCTTTGATGTCTTGAGGTTGATGAGCCCCCTCTTACATAATCTTCTCCCTGACAGCACTATGGTCTCCCCGCAGTGTTCAGCTCTTCCTTTTCTGTGTCCATTGGCTCATTTCTCTCCTCTGGTGAAAGTCTTATTTGGTCCTTTTATGGAAACCAAAGGCTGAAAAAGCCTTCTCAGGAAGAGCAGCAGAAGCCAGGAGCTGGAGGAGAAGTGAGGGCATGATGGGTCTGGGCAGTGGAAGGATCAGAGCACATGCCCCTGCTGCTCCCCCTGCTCGCCGGCGCTTCTGAAAGCCAGCCGGCTGGCTCCAGCTGTGTCCTGACGAAGGATGGCTTCGTTGTTTTTCAGAAGCATTTTATCTCAAGGAAGAGAGATGGCACGAAACTTCTCTAAGTGGAGACTCAGACTGGACTCTCCGGACTCCAGCCGGAAGTGAGGTCACGCTCCAGGAGTCCTCCAGAGGATCCAGACTGTCAGCCATCAGGTTCAGGTCACCAGGACGTCAGCTGAGGCACTGACCAGCACGTGAAATGAGACTCGTCAGGGTGACAAGAAAACCGGACTGGCCGTTGCAGAACAATGCAGTGCTGGACAGTGATATTTTTAAAGGGGGGAGGGGTAAACAAGCAGAGGTGGGATGTCCTGGGTCATTATTGGAGACACCTCTGGGGGTCTGTGGGCATGATGGGGAGATGGAAGGAGTGAGAAAGGTGCCTTACTTACTGAATAATAAGTCTCCTATCAAAGAAGGGGTGTGTGTGTGTGTGTGTGTGTGTGTGTGTGTGTGTGTGACAGAGAGAGAGAGAAAAGCTATTTCCTTATAGCTACTGGCCAGGGCTATTTGAAGTATTACTCTCTGGTCCCAATGGCCTGGACCAAGTGAGTGTCAGAGAGTAGCCAGTTCCAAGGCTTTGAGTGTCTTCTTCCAGCAGATGACCTTGGACTCCAGCCCTGATTCATCTTGGAGCACCAGCTGGCTACAGGACATCTCATGTCTCCTTGCGTGTGCCAGGGCCACCACCCTTCATCTCACCTCCTGGTTTCAAACCTCGGTGCTATTTTTACCTCTTCTCTTCTGATCTGTTCCCAAGTCCTTTCGATTCTACCTCTGTGGTCTCTCTCACACACGTCCTTTCCTCTCTGCTCACCTGGCCGCTACCTTCCTCAGCGCCTGTTTGGATTATGCGGTTGCCACTTAAGAAGTATTCTTCCCTGGCCTGCCTTCTCTCTCCACTGCCACTTGTATCTTCCTCATGACCTCATCATGTGACATACTCAGAAATCATTGACGGTTCCCTATTGCCTGCAGAGTAATTGTCAAACTCCTTTTGACTGGTATTTAAGGTCTTTCCAAATCTAGTGCCAAGCAACCTACCCAAGTTTGTCTCATCCTGTTCCCCTTGACCTCCTCCATGGTCTAGCCCCACTGGATTGGTGGTTGTCCCACAAACACACCCTCCATTTTTGGGCTGCTCTGCTTTTGCTTACGGTGCTTTCTGTGCCTGGACCATAGGCTCTCCTCCCTTCCACCCGCTGACTTCTTGAAGGTCCTTCAAAGCCAGACTTGGATGTCACTGCCCCTCCCCCCAAGACCTTGCATAGCACTTTGTTTCTATTTATGTATTCTTTCGTCTTGTAGTCACTTGTGTCTGTGTCGCATCCATGAGGAGAGGGCCTGTGTTTTATTTAACCTTTGTGTGTCCCCCAGGATCTGGCACAAGGCTCTGTACTCAATTAATGAATAATAAATGTTGATTGACTTGACTTGACTATGAAGCAGGTTTTACTGTAGGGTATACCTTATTGAACATCATTGAATGTGCAGTGCAAGGTAACCTGGAAATGGATCGTGTCCCCCTCTTGGGTGCCTGCTCAGCCTTGACTTTTTAAGTGTGTCATACTCCAGATCACCTCCCGCTGCTTCTATAAAAGGGACTATTCACCCAGCGTATCGTAACATAGAGCAGTTTCATCTTCTGAGAATGAAGGAATTTTCTACTCTGTAACTTCCCCAGGAGTATTTCCACATGAACCCAAATGAACTTATAATTGGAAGCTGCCCAGATAGTATGGCAGCGATACATTCGGCTGGGCTCAGAATCCTATGTGCAGGTCACGTAAGATTAATGTTTACATTCCTGCTCCCGTTTCATTCAAGCTTGCGTGCTAGCAGGACACCTGGGATAGTGGGTGTGGGAGATAAGGGAAGAGCAAGTCTGTTGTACAGATGTGGGCAGTAATAGGCCTGTATTAGCTAATAAGGGGAAAACTTAGGTGGCTGAAATCTCAAGCAGGATATACACTCCAATCATGTTGGACACCTGGATCATTTTTTCACGTATAAGTTGTCCTGAGATAAGGATAAAGCAAAGGATATTATAGCTTTGGTCTCCCATTCAGGGAGCATCTCTTCCCAAAACTACCTTCACCATCACTTAGGGGATAGTTGAGGTGGTCTGGAAAGGAGAAGGAGCAAGAGGTAATTTTGGAGATAGTGGGAGTGGGGGAGATCTGTGGAGGAATCTGGACATCCCAGGGTGGACTGTTCCACTGAGTGTTTTGCAAGTCGCCTCCCTGAAGGATGGAAGAATTGGTCATTTCCCCCTTTCCCATTCTACCAGCAGCTTCCTGCTTGAGGCTGTGGCTCCCTCCTTGAAGAGCCTTGGTGTTTACAGGTCCTGGTTCCTAACATCCCAGGAGAATGGAATGTCCTGTCAGCTTAAAGGCTCATAGAAAACCTTGGCCATGAGATCAGAGGATGTGAACGAGCAGATCTTGAAACAGCACATATTATTGATAAGCACCTGAAAATTGTTTAAATTCTCAGAAATGCAAATGTAAACAACTCAATTCTACAACATTGAGTTCTTCAAAGCACTTTCAGACTCAAGCCTTTCATGGTCCCAGAGGCCGTCCTGATCTGTCCCTGAACGAGAATCTCCCTTCAATGCAACTGATAAGTGGCCTTCAGCATTTGCTTCAAGACCTACAGTGAACTCTGAGCCTTCACCCCCATCACTGACAAAGATGACCAAAAAAAAGGGCCCAGAGTGGAGCCAGAGGGCGTGGAAGGAGTGACAAGCACAGCTATGTGTTGTTGGTCTAGATGTTTGGGCAGGTGACTTGGAGTTTTCCTGAAAAAGTCTGCAATTCCCAGTAGACATATGCCTCAAGGCGATCAAAGGTCTTTAAGGTTCATAGCACTTTATGAAGACTGAAACGGAGTTTGTGCCTATCATTTAGGGGATGACTATACAAAGAGTCAGCCTCATGGAGCAGAGATAGCCATCCTTGGAGTCAAGAAGGCCTGGGTTGATGTCCCACTTACATTCTGGTAACTGGCCGCGGGACCGTGGGCAAGTCCCTTCAACACCGAGCGCCTGAGGCAATACCCCAAGACTGCAGCAGTGTTCTCACTGGAGTTCCTTACACCTGGGAAGCCCTAGGTTCAACTCCATTCACAGGAAATGACAGATCTTATAGAAGAGCCTTCAGAGATGTGTTTGAACTGGTGCTGAGTGAAGTAAGCAGAAACAAGAGAAAGGCAAACTCAGACTGCGGTAATGTTAAGACTGTGATTCTGACAAAGCTTTGCCCAATTATGACTTTAGAGGCCTCTGGCAGAGACCACAGGTGGGGAAGAAGCAGCAGCCATGTGTTTCCGGCTCTGGTCATTGTGCTTGGTTTTGCTTGGCTGTATTTATTTATTAGGAGGGATGCTTCTGTTATTGGTGGGAAGAGGGGATGGGTGGGAAGTGACAATGATGTTTAAAAGAAAAAAAAAGGGGCATCAATAAAACATTTGAAAAGAAAGGCACCATTTGCCTGGAAGGATTGTTGATCATTGCCCTCAGAAGAGGTGAAGGATTACCCCTCTCTTATAGATGAAGAAACAACTTCTGGTTGGTGTGATTTGCTTGTGATTATACAGCTAGTCAGGAGCTATACCATACTGCCTTGTTATATTGCCAAACAGTTAGTAATGAGATTCAGTGCTGGTTTGGACTGTGAAAAGACAGATTCCCCGACTGCTGGGGGATCTGGGAATTGGTGCCATTCTTTTGGGGAGCAATATGGAATCATACAGTGAGTCACAAAACATTTCCCACTTTACTCTAGGTATCCTCTGAGGTATATCCAAAGATGCTGTTGAGGGAGTTAGGGGTGGAGTGGGACGAGACAGGAAGCCCACCTTTTAAAGTATTCATCATGGTAAAACACTGGATCCCATGTGTCTTCAACAAGACCGACAGTCTGGTCTGTTGGCCAGATTGAAGTGGAGAGACCAAGTTTTAGGGTGTCGGGATGCTTGATGAGGGCAGACCCATCGTCCAAGACTGGGAACTCAGAACCAGTGCAGTAGCTAGAACATAGATGCTTACCAAATACTTCCTGGCTGCGATTGGAAGGTTATTCTTGCTAATATATGTCCAGTGGATTCAGGAGACAGGTCCTTGAGGCAGGAAGGCAGCAGAGGTGACTAGCTTTGAGTCTGGAGGGGATGATTGGGTCTAGACCGGAGTTCTGACTGGGAATGAAGAGTAATGCAGACTTGAGATGTGATCCTTACATCGCCAGGACTTGGGGCTTGGGTATGGGGAGAAGAGAGGAAATGGAAGGGGATGTGCAGATAGAGCATGAACCAGGGAGCTAGCAGAATGATGGCTGTGGAGGAAGTGAGGGAGGTATTTCCAGAAATGTCGCCATCATTTCCTTTTCCTCCCCATCTCCATGTTGACTTGCCTTATTGCTGGGCTGTGCCCCCGGTCTCCACGTCTCCATACATCCACCACATTCAGACAGCTAGGAGGAATTGTCAGTGAACTGTGATGTTGCCAAGCGTGTGGGGTGCTGTAGAGACCCTCGGCTCTCTTGGGTGTGAGCACTTACTGAATAAGGCCTTTGGCTCCCTGAGCGCCCATATGTTCTGCCTCTGTATATAATGTGGTTCCAGCCTGGGCCAGCATGCTATTTCAGGTCACTTGACACTATCTGACACCATGAGTGGACATTCTTAACCTGTTTGAGTCATGGACCCCTTTGGCAATCTAGTGAGGGCTACAGACCCACTTTCAAAGTAACATTTTAAATTTATAATTGAGACAGCTAAGTGGCACCGTGGATAGAGTGCTAGAGTCAGGAAGATCTGAGTTCACATTCTGCCTCAGACACTGACTAGCTTTGTGACCCTGAACCTGTCCTTCAACCATCTCATCTGTAAAATGGCCATCATAATGATAGCTACTTCATAGGGTTGTGAGGACCGATAAGAAGGCAACATGGAAGGCACTTTGTAGACCTTCAAGTGCTATATTAATGCCAGCTGTGACTATATTGAAAGATATCGAAATAGTAAGAAAAACAAGTTGCCAGACTCTCAGTTAAGAGCCCTTGTCTTAGAATCACCCTATGAGAGAGTGGGAATGTCCAGAGATTTGTCCAAGGGCACACTTCCTTAGAGCTGGGGCCAGAGGAAAAATCCTCATTTCCTACTTCCCACTGCTTAGGTCCTGGGTTCAGATTCTTTCTGTGGCCTGACAAAAGGAACGTAGCCATGGTTGAGTTGCTGATCTAGCTTTATTGAAAAATATTCAGAAGGAGAAGTTGATGGGCCTCGGGTGTTCCTGAGCCACCAGGCCCACTGCCCTCTGGGAGAGCTGAGGAACCCATCCTTTGGGGGTGAGTGTTGGAGCTTGAGTGGGGTCTGGGGACAGTAAGGATTGCTCTTGAGCTCAGCTCAGTCCTGGTGGCATTGATGCTGTAGGCTTTCTCTGCTCTGAGGTGGAGTCCTGGGCATGTTCCCAAGCCTGGGGCTTGTTGCAGATGTGATTCAGTCTTCCCAGGCCTTGCAGTCTCTAATGAAGATCGAGAGGCAACACTGGGCTTCAAGGACAGCTGACCTTGCCTCTGGCTTCTCTCATTGCCGATTCCCAGTAACCCTGCCATCACTGACCCCTTTTTCACCCCATCCTAGGCTGAGTCATCTTAGCTTTTCATCAGGTTCACACTGTGAGTGGTGGGAATAGAATGAACTAAGTCCAAAATTCCCCAGTGCACATTTGAGGTGTCCCAAAGTGGAGATCCCCATTTCATTCCCAGCTTAGGTCCTGAGGCCAAGTTCCACACCCTCCTGAATGGCTCCTTAGGATGTCTTTGGCCTCTGCCAGTGTCTCTGAGCTACAGAGGTCTTCTGACCTTGCTGGGCATTTTCTCTTTTTACCTCCATACAAAGTTAGGCCAGATCAGCGACCCTAAGGGCCCCTCTGGGTCAAAACTGTAGTCCAAACTTTGTCCTTATTTCACCCAGCTGCTTCATAATGCTTGGGAAGTCCTGGAGGTTGTTATTTCATATTTGGCCACTAGGAAAATCAGATCCCTTCTCCTTTCCCAGTTTCAGTGCATGATCTTTATTGAACTGCATCCCAGGATGATACTGACTGCCCCCCTTCCCCCAAGTAGTAATATATTCCCGATCTCACTTAAATCTCACTCAATGAACTGGGGGTCCAAATGCAAATTTCATCTAACAGATATCAATGAAATATGGCTGTTTGAGTCCCATGGTGGAAAAGTCAAAATATCACTTAAAATGTAAACAAAGGTGTGACCAAATTAGAAATTTTATGAGAAGTAGGTGAAGTATGGAATGATGCCACACAAGAAATATATTGGAATAGGCTGGTGGATCTAATGTTGCCAGTACAGTCCTTCAGATGTCATCTTTCATTTACACAGTATAGATCTTGTACATACATAGGGATTTG